TATATATATATATAAATATATGTGTGTGTATGTGTGTATGTGTATATATATATATATATATATATATATATATATATATATATATATATATATATATATATATATATATATATATATATGCAAATGTCAAGCTTGCCATGAAAAAAATGAACTTTCACCAAAATACAGAAACCGCATCTAAGTTTTTTGTATAAGCAAGTTTTTTAAAGTACTTTAGAAATACTCAAAAATGTATCTGTCAATGTTTTCAAACTATTATATTTGGTTTACCAAAGTCAGACAAGTGGCAATTTCACATCTGTCACATCCATAACGACACTTTTTCCTCATAAATATGAAAATATGAAATAAAATAAAGTCAATCATTTTTGTTCTGTAGTGATTCATCTTTTATCTATTTGTTTAACATTATTTCTTTAGGGTTGTGTAGTTTAATTCACAGAATTTCCACAAAGTATGTTGTATACTCACATTCTTTTTAGATCACATCCAGAACGCATGTTTATTTTCCTCATTTAAAGTACAAAACATGTTTAAAGATTGATGTTTTCCTGGTTCTTTAACTCTGTGGCCAGTTCTTCAGGAAAATATAAACAGATGTTTCTATATAATGTTAAAATATACTTATGTGAATTTATGTTTTGAGATTTTTCTGCAAACACATTCATATCGCTGAAATTGCTCATGTATATATTTATTTAAATGTTGTTTTATGGTTGAGGTTGGTGATCTTGTTGTGGTGAGTTGCTAAGTTGGTGATGTTCCATTAATGATTTGCTCGTCCACTTTTTAAGAATATGGAAATGGATTTTTTCTCTATTTTATCCTCAACAGTTTTTAAATATGTATAAATCAGTCTTATTGGACTTGTTTGTATAATTTTGTTCAATTGTCAAATAAAGCAATCAAAAATAAAAAATTATTATAATAAATTTTTATATTTACACAGATTAAAGTGTATTTTTATATTTAATTTATAGTTGGATGCATTTTCACATCTACATTTATATTGTATAAATATAATTAATAGACATTAATATCTACATATAATACATTTTGACTACGTGTGTGTGTGTGTGAATGACTTATGTTTTCTTGTGTGTGTGTGTGTGTGTGTGTGTGTGTGTGAATCACAATTTGCATAGTTTATTATAATAATTTTTTATTACTTTATTTCTTTGATAATTATAATAATACACCACTACCACTTAAGGATTATAGACAATTTTAATTTTAAAAAGAGAACATTTTATTTCAGTTACAATTTTAATATAATGCATTTTGTAAATTATTATAAAATTCAATATTAAATAATTACATAATTACCTATACATAACTAACAATTTAGTAATTAAAAAAACTTTATTTGTATTATTGTACTACTACCACATAATTTAACATTTGATAGACACATAATTCATAAATACATTAATAAAAGTATAAATGTAATTAATTTACATTAATATTTATACATTTTGACATATTTATGCTTGTTTGTGTGTGTGTTTGTGTATTTGTGTACACAACTTATATTTTCACACAGTTTATGCAATTTGTATAGTTTATTATAACAATGTTATTATTACTTTATTTCTTTGATAATTATAATATATAATAATATGCCACTATCACTTTAGAATTATCAGTTAACTATTTTATTTTAAAAAATATATACTTTTTATTCCATCTTATTTTAGACATTCAAATTGTCCTATTTTATATCATTATAAATGATCTAATTAAATATATAATTAGTTATACATAATAACTTCACAATTAAAAACATAATTTGTATTATTACAATAATCTATAAGAAAAATGTGTAAATAATCATTATTGAATAAAAAAAACACATTTTAATAATATAAATTTAATAAAAAATTAAGAATACAGTGCACTGTTAAAAATGACCAATCAAACTCAAAATGTTCTACAAATTTCAGAAATTAAATGTAATAATTAATCAACATTTTACAACTAGCCTAAATGAAATTCAGCAGTTTCACAGATCTTTTTCTCAATTGGAGCAACAGCCTGTAAACAATGGCTCAATGAAAAATAATGTGTTGAGCCAACTAAAAAAACCACCATGTCTGCCTAATTAAATACTTTAAATTGTTGTAGCGTCATGCGTTTTTGGTTTAACCTAATTGAAAAATGTATATTGGTAAATTTCCTCTGCAAAAGCAACTTTACTGAATTGTTTATTCCCAGTTGTCCCAAAAGAAAAAGAATAATAAAATATACTAAATAATGATACACTAAACACTGCCACATATATTTATTTAATAGGCACTAGTGTAAATATCCTTTAAAATAACACACATTGAACATTTCAGCTGCACAGCAGACTTAATAAAACACAGAAGTTTTAGATGTTGTTGTTCTAAATTCATTATCCAAAATATCCTTATCAAAGTTTGACGAGTATCAGCACATCAACCCTTTTCCACGTGTTTTATTTTAGTGTTGTGTCAGTATGAAGTGTTTGGAGAGTTCTGACAACAAAAAACATAATACACATAAAAAAGACCTTGTGAATATTTAATCAAAGATCTGCAGTTTGGCAAAGAACAGAAAGCGCAGTATGAAAGAGAAGCAGATGAAAGGGGAATGTTTTTAATAACTCTGGGTTATTGTCAAGACTGTGGCTTTGGGATTTCTAAAAAAAAAAAAAGTCGTGCTTTTATTGAACAATTCCCTGTACAGCAGGGGGCACTACATCTAAAAGCTCAGACACCTCGAGCACGGCATTAAATGAAAGCAGCATATTGATGTTAAGCAAGTTCAATGCACTTTGTTTTTTTTATTTTTTACCAAAAATTCTGTCAGGCACAGGAGAAAAATCTGTTTTTTTTTCTTGACTGAAATGACAAGTGGTTTGAAATGCTGCTATTTCAATATTAAGAAGCAGGTTATTTATTTACATTTACACTAATACTATACAGTTTATTACAAATGATTAAAGAAGCAATGTAGAATCTGTATACAAAGCATAATGTTTACTATTATGAAATATGTAAGTGTTATACGCAGTTGCTTAAGACATTCACAAAAATGACTTACTGAAAAATGTATCTGTCAATGTTTTCAAACTATTACATTTGGTTTACCAAAGTCAGACAAGGGGCAATTTCACATCCGTCACATCCATAGCGACACTTTTTCCTCATAAATGTGAAAATATGAAATAAAATAAAGTCAATCATTTTTGTTCTGTAGTGATTCATCTTTTATCAATTTGTTTAATATTTTTTCTTTTGGGTTGTGTTTAATTCACAGAATTTCCACAAAGTATGTTGTATACTCACATTCTTTTTAGGTCACATCCGGAACGCATGTTTATTTTTCTCATTTAAAGTACAAAACATGTTTAAAGATTGATGTTTTCCTGGTTCTTTACCTCTGTGGCCAGTTCTTCGGGAAAATATAAACAGATGTTTCTATATAATGTTAAAATATACTTAAGTGAATTTATGTTTTGAGCTTTTTCTGCAAATGTCACATTCATAATGCTGAAATTGCTCATATATATATATATATATATATATATATATATATATATATATATATATATATATATATATATATATATATATATATATATATATATATATATATATATATATATATATATATATATATATATATATATATATATATCTATATATATATATATATATATATA